TATCCTCTTCGATTCTCAACCGAATAATGAGATCTTCAAGGGACATCTCCTTGCGTTTGTGTTTCAAGTAGTTTTTGAAGTCCTTCCACAAATGAGGCAACTTCTCAATCATCGCTGCAACTTGGAATGCTTCATTGATGACAAGACCTTCAGCAAGAAGATCGTGAATAATCACTTGCAATTCCTGGACTTGGGTAATAACAGACTTGCTATCTACCATTTTGTAGTCCAAAAATTTAGCGGCAACGACTTTCTTTAAACTGGCATCTTCTGTTTTATATTTCCTTTCAAGCGCTATCCACAGTTGTTTTGACGTCTCCACATTACTATAGATGTTATACAGATCGTCCTCCAGTCCGCTAAGAATGTAATTCTTGCATAGAAAATCAGAATGCTTCCACGACTCAGTCACGAGAAAACGTTCATTTTCTGGAATTTTGTCGGGCAGAACATGAACATCTTCCTTAATGAACTTCTGCAGACTTAAAGTTGTCAAGTAGAAGAACATCTTCTGCTGCCACCGCTTGAAATCAATCTCGGAAAATTTTTCGGGTTTTTCTGCCGGTGCCAATGCCGGTGTTGTTCGGCTTGTCGATGTATTGGCAGTCACCATAGGAACAGTCTGGTTCCGGTTATCATTCGTCATTTCTGTAAAAGAATGATACAAACAAATATTAAAATCACGTAGATTTTAATCTCCAATGGAGTAGAAAATCACAAAAGTTTTAGTCTTCAGAACAGTGAGTATAACACAAATACAGAAAATATTAAATTCCTTAAGATTGATAGTAAACTGTATTTGTAAAATAATTCTGGAGAAGATAAAATAACATATAAACAGAAATGTAAAAGAAACAGGATTTAATCCGAGCCCACTGAATTCACAGTGTTTCCTTAAGGAATTTAATCCTCTCCTAGTACTCAAGGTTGTGGATCCCAGGATAGAACGAATTATACACTAGTATAGCGGTACTTCAAACTCCAGTGTTTCATCGAATACAAATATCGGTAGCAAATCACACTTACTGTTGCTTTCTTTGTAGTTAAAATAATGCAGAAGAAAGGAGGAAAACTTAGAAATTCGTATGAAAAATCTGAGAGAATGAACTGGCTGTTTGTGTAAAACGGCCATAACGTAAATGGCTTTTACAAAAAGCGAAGGGCATATAATGTTCCGTTGGATTTAATATTATTGTTTCGTTTAAAAAAGTTAATATTTACTATTAACAAATAAATTTGGTCCAAACAATTAATAAATAAATCATTTGATCGAATCCGAATCCGAGCGACGACGACGACGACGGCGGCGCGATACTTGCCTTCTTCTTAACTCTTTAAGAGCTAGAAGAAGAGCAATTGTATATATACCCCTCAAAAACCTTTCCATCTTCCAATATGGGACAATGTCCCTTTGTCAAGGAGGAAAACTCAAATATTTTCAATTTTCTTTCATTTTCCATTCACCCTTTTTTTAAGCTACATTTAAACTTAAAAACCCAACAATTGTATGATTATCAAGTGATACATTCTTTACACCCATGCATGGCAGCATCGTACTATTAATCTTGTTTGGATGGTTGTTATTTGTATCGTATTGTATTGTTATCCCAAATAATGTTTGTTTTGATTATTTTATGAAAATTGATTGTATTGTATATTGTTAAATCTATTATTCTGGAACAATGAAAAGTTTTATTTTTGAAATAACTGATTTGGTGTGGTGGGATTGTTAGAAATTTACTGCCTCTTCTATAGACTTCTAATGTGGCCCACATATAAGGTAATAAATTATTTACCTTGTCTCCCAAAGGAAATAATATATTAGATAATATTCTATAGTTATGCATATATGGTAGTTTCTTTGATGGAAAGAAATAATTTTTATTAGGAGTCCCTAGGGCAATTATAATTTATGGAGAAGTCCCTAGGGCTAAAGTATTTACCTAAGAGTCTCTAGCGTACCTATAAATATGCTTGTGACTCCATCAGTCTGGCATTCTACGATAGACACAGGCTAGAAGGCTCTCTAGGTTTTCTGCTAAAGGTTTCAAAGGCGATTCCCTACAACGCTTGAATAACAATGGCTTAAGGTACGTTCCTATTAATATTCTGCTGCGTAGGCCCTGTGTTTGTATTCAAATTTCATCATGTGGTATCAGAGCCTGCCTTTAGCTGTGTTGTTCAGTATCTAGTTTCATTGATGATGATTAAGAATTTAGTTCACCATCCAATTTTGTCACGTTTCCGTATCAACTCATTCGTCACATGGAACCGAACTCTTGTTGGCAGATTAATCTTTAATTTTTTGGTTCCAAGAATATTGTTGTTAACTACTACTTAATATAAGAACCTTATGCATCAATTAAAGTAATATGAACAGAAAGGGGAATGGTAATTTTCACTTGGATTGTGTTTATGAAAACTAATTGTGAAAAGGTGCTGGTAATGTATACCAAACAACGTTTCTTCTTTAACCAAGAATCATGTAGCCACAATTAATTTTCTTTGGAATCTTACGTATTGTTTGTATTTAAGGATGCATAAATTAAGATGGTTATCTTATTTTGTTTGCCATAACAGTGAGTAGATTACAAACTGTTTGCATAGGTTATCACGTTTCATATGAGGATTTGAATACCATTTGACATGTTGAATAGCCAAGGAGCCTCTTAGAGGCTAATAAGAGCAGCGACATTTCACAAGATCATATACATACCACATTGTTTGGGAGAACTCCAAACCCTTACATCTTGCATAATATCTCTATGTTGCTGTATTAGCATTTCCAGTATTTTATAAATCTACGAGAAAATGACCCTCTATAGCCCCTCAAAATTTTAATAGCCTATATTTTTTCCCATTGACCCGAAATGTTCCTCCGGCCTAAACATATTACATCTAATAGCCCGAAATGTCTATTTTATATATTTTTTGTATAGCGACAGTCTATTTTGTATAATGACAATTTATTTTGTATAATTTTTGTATAGTGACAGTCTATTTAGTATATGTTTTGTATAGTGACAGCCTATTGTATATAAATTGTACAATGACAATCTATTTTGTATATTTTTTGTATAGTGACAGTCTATTTAGTATATGTTTTGTATAGTGACAGCCTATTGTATATAAATTGTACAATGACAATCTATTTTGTATATTTTTTGTATAGTGACAGTCTATTTTGTATATATTTTGTATAGTGACAGTCTATTGTATATAAATTGTATAGTGACTGTCTATTTAGTATATGTTTTGTATAGTGACAGTCTATTTAGTATATTTGTTGTACAGTAACAGTCTATTTTGTATATATTTTATATAGTGACAGTCTATTTTTATGCGTGTGATTATTTCTTCATCATCATATTCTTCTTCTTTTTTTTTCTTCTTTTTCGGGTCCAAGTGGTGTTTTATAAGTAAAGAACTCTTGAAGTGGGTATTGGTAGTGGGTTGAGATTTTAATGCTGGTTGGAAGTTACAAGTATAATTTCATATAAAGTTGTATATACACAATACATATATAAAAATTGTATTTACATTGTTATATGTATATATATTGCATTCTATATAACAATGTGCTTATAAAAAATGTATATAGACTATTAGATAGTGTATAGAAATTGTATATACACTAATACATACAGTATAAAATTTATATACAGTGTATCTTACATTTTTCGGTGTATCGTATCCCTAATGTATCATTAGTGTATCTTGAGCACTTTTGTATACTCGAAGTGTATAGACTGTTTTACGATGTAAGGAAAAGGCACATTTTGCTCCACGATGTATAAAAGTGTATATACATTTTTATACACAATTTATACATAAATGATACATATTGTGCAAATGTATTTTTGTATAAAAATTGTATATAAACCGTTAAATATGTATAGAAGGTGTATATTTACTGTTATGCAGTATATAAATATTTTATATACAATATTTCCTGAGTTTTGCAATGTATTCTTAGTGTATTTCAAACGTATTGTGTCTCTTGAGTGTATAGACTATTTACATAATTTATAAAAGTTGTTTATACACTAGCCTGGCTTTATTCTTATTTTCTTCATCTGCAATAAAACTTTGAAAACAAAATTCTCATCCCCAAACTTCCAATACTTGAAGAATACAATTTAAATTATAGTCGAAATTATAATATTTATTGTAATATAGGGAGGGATGAACATATATGTTTAAAAAGAAAAAAAAGTGTTAGAAAGTGCGTTGGATAAAGAAATAGGTGAAAGCCTATGGAGATTTGAGTATTGGAAGTGGGTGATGAAGGAAACTTGAGGTAACAGAGAATGAAAAAGAGTTGCAATCTGAACCATTTATTTTTCTGCTTAAATTCGGTTTGTACCAAAAATTAGATCCGACAAATGCATCATGACATATAAAATTAGCAAATTAAATAAAAAATTCACCTAAATGGTACATTAGACAGGATATTAAATCAGGGGATTTTTTATTCATGAGAAATTTCAATCCCCAAATTAGTTTCGTCTTAACTACATTGAGAAATATAATAATCGCGTCACTAACTCTCCTCAGTACGTCCAAAAGTATTGAAGGAGAAAAGAGATGTTTCACGTGAAGATCGTAAGTAAAAGATGAAATCAACAAGTTACTGATACTACAAAAACAACACTGTACTCGCGCCAACATTGGAATCTAAGATCTAATAATAAAACTATTATTATTATTATTTGTCGTATCACAAAGATATAGAATTTTAGTTGTACGGATATAAATANGATTTAAGTTTGGGACAGGGCATGAACTCATTAGAGTAGTTAGTTAAAACCGAACAGCACTACAGGAACTCTAAAGTAGAGTTTAGTGATATTATATGAGTATATAGATCACCTAATTGATCTCAAGCAGCATAAGTCACCCTATACTTGTATGATCATCCTCCTCAATTCCAGAGTAACAATTATTAAGAGTATGATAACAATCATTTTGTCAAGTTATTGCTTCCCTCTATCTTGCAATTGAGATATTAAAAATATTAGAAGAAAGCTGCGTCAGTTACAAAAATTAAATGTAGAGGTGAAGTATTTTCTAAGTTTTGTTTTCGTATCCAATACTAAAGTTGCAGTTTTTATCCATGAACAACTGCTTGATACAATAGACAAAGCAGAACACTGAAATTCATTTTTCAAGAAAAAGCGACCCAAAATTTTAAGGTTCTGTAAAGAATGTGGAATTGCACCTAAAGGGCTTGGAAATTGGGGAAGCTAAAATCAAATCTTTTGCCTGATCCGGTGTGCTCATTATTCTGAATTTGCAACTTATATTTTTTTTGTCACCTTCCTCAGCTTGCTATGGCCATATTTTCTCAAATGTAGTACAGACAACAAAAAGAATAACAGTGAAAAACTTACCTTGAGTTTGAACCTTTAATTTCACTGCCAATTTCACAACAACATTAAAGAATTCAATAACTTTCACCAATTCTTCCTCAATAAATTACCTGGAAGTTGAAAGATGTCACAAGGAAAATAGATCACCTCACGGCATGACTCCCTAACATACAAATATTTATCAATTATTTTCTTGAAAATTTTTAAATGAAAAAGATATCACAGGGAAAAGTATCTACTCAATTTGAAAACTATAAGTCATCTAATTTTCCATGTCAACAAAAGTTAGAGAAATAGTAATATTGCTACTGCAGAATTACACATGCAAGCAATTGAAATACCATTACAAAATAACCACAAAAATTAAAGTAATTCTAGAAACACTTATGTGGTAACCCCTTGTCGACACAGGGGCAGAACATTGAGGGAAAAGAAAAGAAGCACAGGCACAGTAAGCAGAGCGAAACCATAATTCAGCTTCATCAGCCTAGCACGCACAAGTCTTCCTTTTGCTAGGAAAATTCGTCAAACACATTGGTCGCATAAATTAATTTTAAAAATATCCACACGAACAGAGGAAATACCAGATGCCCACCAAAGAAAAGAAGAAGCAAGAACTACCACCAAAAACAAATTAAAAAAAAATCATCACGACTATATACCAAAGATAACATGAAACTGAAAAATTGAGAAATTAAGGCATATTGAAAAGAAATCGTTTGACTACAGATCCCATTAGCAATTAAAAGGTACAAAAGGATCAAGACCAAATTTGTAGGTGCAAACCACGGTAAACTAACTCTCACTATTCATATCAAGACATAGAGAACACATGCAACCCAAATTACGATTCAGTCAAAATCACAAAACACTAAACCTTGAAAATTTACATTGAAGATTGAAACATACACATGGCTTAAAAAATAGAGGAAATCGAAAATTCACCAAAAACGAAGCAAAAAATAAAGAGGAAGAAGAAGAAGAACCCGCTGGAGAACTGAGCAAAGAAACAAAAAGTTCTCTGATGAAAATAGTGAAGGCTCAATAGGAAGAGAGAGCAATGCAAGCAAAATCAATAGAGGCAGAGAACTGAACAAAAAAGACGGTCAGAATGTGAGTAGCTTCTGGAATAGTGAGGGCCCAATATAAACGTAGGAAGAATGAAATTACCATTAAACCCACAATTCACAAAGCTTTAAATCATAGAGGGCAGGGGCATAGTTGACACAACATAAAGCAAATAAATATTTTGAAATCCCGAACTTACCCCTGTTCGTACCGCGTTGGTACAACTTAACTTCTAAATAATACTCCATAGTAAAGTAATTTACGGAAACCGATGATTATGAACTTAATATTCTAAGGTTTCCTGTTCATATTTCTTTTGAGGAATTTTTACTTCCTGTTCTAAAGTTTAACAACTTATTTATTTTAAATAAATACCATTTTAAAAAATTATATTTTATAACTATCTTTTAATATTTATAGCAAAATATCTCTTCACGTTCTCCCTCTCTCTAATTATAACTACCATTTTAATGTTTATAGCAAAATATATTTTTTAACTCCTACCCTTAAGCCACTATATACGCTAATTATTATTTTTCTCTCCTTTCCAGATTTTTCTCACATAATTTACCGTATTTGATGAAAAATTCTCTCTTCACGTTCTCCCTCTCTCTAATTTGATACACGCCATTATCTTCCCCATAAAACACGATTCTGCAACTGAAATTCCCTCTCACCCACATCGTCTAGGTCTTCCCCAGTCTCAGTCACCACGCTAATTTCATACATGCCATCAGCATTATCTCTCTCAACTCTCGTTTTTTTTCCTACAAATAGTTGTGGTAAGTATTTAACTTGTTAGAATTTCGCTTGTATTTTGTTTATATCTACTAATTTTTTATAAACAATAACCATTGTTATTGTATTCAACAGAAAACTTGAGATTTTCTCTCCAATGTCTGATTCAACATCCCACAAGAGGATTACCAGAGGTATACCCACCAAAGCACTCAATTTTGATGGGCCTTCTTTCTCTTTGCAAATCACTCAAGCGGAATTGGAATTTGCAGGTTCAGCAGCAAATACAGTTGCAGAGAGGAGAACTAAAATACACAATGACAAATTGAAAGAAGCCCAAGTTGAGAAATCTTCGAAAGAATCAACACTCCCCGTTGCGGAAAAGAGAAAAAAACCTATGGATGATGTTTCATGTGTCAAGAAAAAGGAGGTCGATGCAAGAAATAGCTCGGATACACGGGACGAAAAGGTAATTGTTGATGTATCAATATGTATTTGAGTCCTCATACATTGAGTATTATCTTCTTCAATGAATTTCTATTATTGTATGTTATTGTATTTATATGTGTGCAATAGTGGATACATAGCTTCCTCTTCTTATTTGTTGATGTGATTTATATGTATGTTGGTGTATTCATAAGTATTCAAAATTGCCTATTTATACTTATTACTCTGACTTTTGCATATCGTATTTAAATTTATCCATAAGTATTCAAAAAATTCATCACTCGTTTGTACTTATTACAATGACTTTTGCATATTTATATGTAGATGTATTTATATGTATACAAAATTTGGCTTCACTGATTTGTGCTTATTTAGTCTAGTGTCTTTTGTATTTAAATGTGTTTAGTTGAATTCAAAAGTTCACTCACTGTATTTTGTACTTATTACAGTGACCTTTGCATACTGTATGTAGATGTATTCATAAGTATTTCAAATGCGCCTTCACTGTTTTGTACTCATTGCAATAAAGAATGATTGTTGTATGTGGATGTATTTATATATACAACTATTTTCATCACTGATTTCTTACTCCAGTGCATTTTGCATATTGTATTTAGTTGTATTTATGTGTATTTAAAACAATTAATGAGTTATGTATTCCTGTTGACATATGAAATCTTTTTGTAATTCTTGTTGTATGCAAAAAGTTAAATTTTTTGTGAAACACCAGTCTATTTCATCACCGCATATCAGTTCATATACTAACACGAACATAGTATCCGACCTCAAAGAAAAGCTTACTCCTGAGCAGTACAAAATATTGGGTTCTACTTGTTTTGGAAGTTTCTTTGATATAAAGCCTTGTGAGGTCCAGCATCAATTGTTCAGGTGCTTCATAGTTCGTCAGTTAGAAGGAAGTCATGACGATGTATTTTCAATATACGTCAATGGTACAACATTATCCTTCTCAATCAGAGAGTTTGCTCTTGTCACTGGTCTCAATTGTGTGGGTGACCCTGAAGATTTTCAGTTCAACACAAAGGTGCCTAACTGGATTGTTGAGACATACTTTGGCAGCGCAAAGAATGTCAAAAAGAAAGATTTGTTGACATGCTTTGATGACAAGAATTTGGGTCATGATAACGATGGGGATGCCATCAAGATAACTGTGTTGTATTTCATACACACTTTTATATTTTCATCCGAGAAGAACAGCACAACCATCCCAAGATTACATTTTGACTTGGTCGAGAGTGGGAGATACTCTGATTATCCATGGGGTATTGATGTATTCCAATACCTTATTAAATCTATTAGCAAGAAAATGAATTCTCAGAAGAAGTACTATAGGATAGCTGGGATGCCTTTCGCAATGCAAGTATGGTTTTACGAGTGCTGTTCAAAGGTTGACCCCAAAATTGCAATGCGAGTTGATAACCGGTTTTTCAGAATACTCAATTGGAGATCCACTGTCAATCAGCCAACTTGTGCTTATCTGATGAACGACATGTTCAATGACTAGGGAAACATGGTAATTTACTATTTGTTAAGTTTCCGATATTATTTTTTTAAGAATTAATATTCTGTTAGTCAATACAGTTGCATACAACATGAATACATTAGAATACATATTGTTGAATACAATTGCATACAACATGAATACATTAGAATATATTAGAATACAACATGAATACATTAGAATACATCTACATACAATATGCAAGTATGATTTCATTTCCCTGTCTTCCATATTATTATGAATACATTAGAATACAAAAAATAGTATACAGATAGATATTTCATTCAATGAGCATAACTTTGTAACCATACAACAACTTCGTTCACTTTGAGTGTATTTCGATTTTCAGATTGTTTACAATGACATCCAACCAAGCGATGTAGAGCTTGTTGTTATTCAGATTCCTCCAGGAGGTGTTGAGGTAGAGAACAATCCTACTCCTACTCATTCAGACAAGTATGCAGATGATTCAGATGACTTTAGTCCTACACCGCATCTTCAGCCTAAGAAGAAACATGATGCAAGTGTTGGTCCATCTTCATCACCGCCCCACAAAAAGCGCAAACATCAGATTATAGATCCCTCACATTCAGATACTCAATCCAAGATTCCTCATGCTGGCATATCTGAAATCAATCAAACTGTATTGCATGATAAGAAGCAAGTAGATTCTAAAACAGATGAGGTATTTTCTTTGAGGAATGATCTAAATTCATTCAAAGAATATGTGAGTTTTGTATGGACATATTAAACATTACAGTTTGGAAATTAACATTCATATACTTTTTCAACACCTCTCTAATTATTTGTGTATTGATTAGATGATGGACGAGTTCACGTCTCTAAGAACATTGATCAATGAAAACTTTAAGAAGTTTTCTGACCAGATTAAAGCCAATCAGCCTACGGAAAGGGTATAACAGAGAAAGAAAAACACAGGGAAAAGTGATGATGGTATTCAAATATCATCTGATGCCAACTTGCAAGATAATCCCAAAGGCCAAACACAGAGTGATATAGCTGTCGGTGAGAAGGCAAAGGTTAACATTTTTTAGCCTCTTTAGTATATGTTTATATAAACATAATCAGACTATATGTTTCTGCTATTATTCAGATTAATAATCTATACAACATCATACACATTTATGAAATACAAATTTATACATGTTACTTCAGTTTTACATAAGTATTCAGTATTATATAAATATATATTTAAAAATATATTTTATTAATATTCAGTTTACTCATGTATATTGTAACATACATCCTACGGAATCAATCCTATACGTGTCATTTCAGTTTCAAATTTGATTTAAGGGTTTTCAAAATGCATTTCTATAACGACCTTCACTATTCCTTTTTTAATTGAAACATGTATACAGTTGTATTTATTTGTATTATAAATGCACTGTACTTATACATATTACTTTTGATCTTTGCATATTGTATGTAGATGTATTTATACGTATTCAAACAGTATTTACATGTATTTAAGCTTGGATTCTAAATACATTGTACTTATATCTCAAACATCCAAACATGTTTAGGTTTAGATGTATTTAGATGTATTCAAAACATGTGATGTATTATGTATTAAGAAATTTTATAATACACTTATATACATATGTATTAAAAAACAGAATAAATATGTTAATCCTGTTTGTGGTGAAGTAAGAGTTGAGGAGAATACTACATCTGAGGTGCTGTGTAGCATACCACCTGTATGCCACGAGGATGTATCCAAAGAAGTACATGTATCACGATTTGAGTTGGCGGACAAGTTTCTTCCAAGTCAAATTCTAGAAACTAGAATTGTGATACATTATGCAGCAAAAAATGTTGATACAACCCCATTACCCTCTCATAGGAATCGGCGTCCAAGTAGATGGTATTCTTCACCTTACGAGTCAAACTTCGACTCCGTCGATTAGTAAATTTTTAAACAAAAATAATGTATTATAAAGTTATGATCTATTTTTCCATGTATCTATAATTAAATGTCTCTATTAATGACTTCAATTAATAATAGGTACCTCAGTAAAGTTGACTCCCATATTTGACAAAAACTACCCCTTTGAAGACGATTTAATATCGGGGCCACATCCTACATTAGTCATTCAGGAATACGAGAAATGAGTTCGTGATGGTCTTCTCGCTAAACATGATCAAAAGTAAGTTTTTTACCCGGTATGTCTAATATATATTTTTAATTTAGAAAATGGATATAATATTTTTTCCAATTCCTTGTAGAAGTGATTTGGAAGACCATTACAAGAAGAACAAGTCAACACTGCATATACCGTTGGATTTTGGAGTTGATCAAGTCACTTTAAAAAATTAGTTTTACCTTCTCTTGTTTGACGGTAAACTATGAAATGACAATGTCAGATATACCTCTTCCAAATTCAGTTTATTCCATTTTTTTCTGTTTGGTTTGTCTAATTGTATATTTCACAATTTGAGAACTCATACATATTTTGTATGCATTTGTATTTTATATTGTTTATGTGCTATGTAATTAGTTGAGTTGTATGAGTTATGTTTGTTCCCTATTGCTGATAATATACATCTGATGCTAGGGTTAATCCAATGAGTTATGGGTATCTTGTGTATTTAACTGTATTCAGATTTATAATTATTTCACAGTTTTCTCTAGCAATTTGTTAAAAGCAGTATGTATTCTTTATTAGATTCTCAACTGTACGACTTGATATAGATCAGTATGTTTCGTTATCAATATGTATATAGTTATCATAATGTATTTAACTATATTCAATATCAAATAAATGTATGTATTCAGCATTATGTATCCTAACAGGTGATGCCAATTTATATTCAATTTGTTTTCTGTTTGTTATCTGCTAGCCAATTATGTATCAGTATGTATCTAAAAGAATTGTGTAAGTTTAATTTATTTTCAGCAGTTGATACTTCTATATTCAGTTTATTTTCCTTGATTTCATTCAATGTACTGACGCTATGTATTCAATTTTATATATATCATATTGATGTCAAATTTTACTACTTGAGAAAGAAGGGCAAGTACAACCAAACAACCAACTTCAAGTATACAACTGTTGATTGTATATTCAAGACAAGAATACTTGAAATCTTTGACAGGTATGTTGATACAGATAGTAATGCAAATATAGCCAAAGAAGAGGATGTGGTATATGAGTACATAAGGGGCTACAAATTGCTAGCTAATGTACCGTGGCATACTGTTGACAATGTCTAGATACCAGTCAACTTGAAGGACAAACTTCATTGGATATTGGCAGTTATCTCATTCAAGGAGAGATGTATCAAAGTGTATGACTCATACAGATCGGTAGGTCATGATGCCTATGTGGCTTCTGAGATAGATAAGCTAGCTAAGCTTGTACCTCTGTATCTATAGATCAATGATTTTTACAGAGATAAGCAAGGCATAGATTGGTCTCATGACTCAGCATACAGTGACAAGGCACAAACTGATCCCTTTGATGTTGTTTTCATTTTAAATCTGCCTTAACTAAAATCTGGGAGCATATATGTATTCAATCCTCTTGCTTGTATCATTTATAAATATAATAATATGAAATGTTTTTCATTATTTCAATCTGTTTTTTCAAGGATTGGGGGTTGTATGTCGCGGCATACGCAGAGTTTCTGAGCACTGTTGGTTTGGTTCCCCAATCAACATTTGATGCCAATTTACTCCGTCAAAGATATGGTGCACTCCTTTAGGACTATACTATGCGGAAGATAAACGCTGATGCCATAAGTGAGAATGAAGCACCCTCAAAGATTGTTAGACAAATCACGGATTCGGATACGTCAGTTAAGATAATGTTAGAGTAGTTTTAGGTGAATGTAGTTTTGGATGGTAGTTTTGTGTGAATACTGTATTTTGGATAGTGTTTTGGTAAAGATGGTGTTTAGTTGAGAAAAAATTATGTTTACATTTTATTCATTGTATCCACATTGTTTATATATAATCATTTCAACTATTCAGTCGATGTTTCAATATTTTTGTGCATCATAATTTATCTGTAATCAACAGGTTGTGTTTGTATGGATACAACATGTTGCATTCATATGAATAAATCAGGGTGTATTCCTCTGTATTCAACAGATTGCATTCATATGAATTAAACAGATTGTATTCATCTGTATTCAACAGATTGTATTCATTTGTATTCAACAAGTTGTATTTATCTGTATTCAATAGGTTGTATTCATCTGTATTCAACAGGTTGTATTCATCTGTAATCAACAGATTGTATTCACATATATTCAACCTGTTGTATTCATATGATATTGGCAGGTTGTATTCATATGTATTTAACAGGTTGTATTTCAAGTTAGAAACAATGTTTAGATGTATTTCACATTCAGAAACCATATATAATCTCACATCCAAACATGTTTTATATTTAGATGTATTTAAATGTATTCAAAAACATGAATGATTTATGATGAATGACATATGAAATCTATTTACAATACACAAATATTCTGACATTTTGTATTGATATGTAATAGTCGTATTGTAATTATGTATTCAGATTTAATACACCAACTAACTATATCCAGAATATATTCACGCAAAAATTCAAAATGTATTATTTTATAATGTAACCTGAATCTATGACACATCGTTATAGCACTAATACAAGTCAGAATGTGAACTAAGTCCTACGTGGAGCATTTCTACAAGTACGCTTATTATGACCTTCCTGCCCACATATGCTACATGAATGTTGATTTTTCTTCTGTTGCAATTCACTGAATGGCTTATCGTACTTCTTCTTTGGCCTTCCAGGAGGTCTTTTTCATTTTGGTGGTAAGACAACTTCCTTTGATATATGTGCTGGTATATTCCATTCATTTCGGTCAGGCAGCGGATACACGGGCACCTCATATGTCATTACAACAGACTTTGGTTTGTAATAGTCAGAGAAATAATCTTCTGGCATTAGAAACTTGCTCTTCAAGACAGCCCAAGCATGTTGGCATGGTAATTCATCAACTTGGAACCGCCCACAACTGTATTTTCTCTCTAAGAGGCACACAGTGTAATGTCTTCCTTCATCGTTCACCGTATGCAAGTATTCGGTCGACGGTACCACCTACATTTAAACATAGACCAATTAGTTTGAAATATTTTAAAAAAAAATCATTTATATATCAAAGAATAGACATATTAATTACAATATAGATATATAATTAAAATATAATTAAAATATACATCATTAAACTTTTATTTAGCTTTCAGAATCATCATATATATTGAATTCAAACAAATTTGTATTGAATACAAACATATATGTATATATAAAATACAAAGAAATACATTGAATACATTATGTAGGATGACAGAATATTAAAGATGATTACATCTTGACTAGTGAATGCTGTAACTATCTGCGTGCATATGGTTAGAAACAAAATCATTAAATTTAACTAACGATACAATTAGCATAAGTTCTGTATTTTGAATAGTAGAAATTATATTAGAAATAAATACACCTTGTACCAGGGATAAATATAGGATACAGTGACTTATAAAAAAATTGCCTCATTCAAGGTAAGCATATCCTGGTATTTTTTTCCTAGCGTTGTGTATGTCTGTGAAGCTTCTTTCCGATTGCTGCAATTCCAACGTCCAAACATCTTCCTAACTTCTTCGAGGAAGTCGTATATTGGCAATTCCCTTGCTGACACAAGTGCGGCATTGATTGACTCAACAATATTTGACGTCATGGTCCATCCCCTGTTAACATGTGCATACAACCTAGCCCACTTTTCGTATCCAGTTAACTCCAAGTATTCTTTCACCCTAATATCTACCTTCTCCACCTTCTCCATTAGACTGTCAAATTCAGCTTGTGTGTATGCTTTTGCCATCGAGAAGTATATCTCGCTCAACTTTGAATGACTCTTTTTGAATTTTTTATATACGTTGTTCCATAAATGCCATATACAAGCAAAATGTGGTACCGCCGGATACACTCTTGATACAGATTTGATGATACTCTCATTCCTATCTGAAATGATGAACATGTTTTTCCTCTCACCATATGCTTCCTTGAATTGCTCAAAGAACCACGGCCAAGCAGCATCATTCTTTGAATTAATAACACCATATGCTAGTGGCAGTATATGACCTGTAAAGACAATTGCATACATATTATAAATATGTATTTCAATTTTTAATAGGCAGTAATATTATCAAATTTTATTATAATCCCCATACTCACCTGCACCATCCAATGTGCTGGCCGAGACGAATGTCCCGGTGTAATACGATTTTAAGTGGCTTCCATCCACAACCACA